AGAACAGCGAATAAGTTTAAAATTGAGGGAAAAGTAGAGACAAAAACGGGATCAGAAGTTCACAACAGCAAGAGGGATCATCATTTTCAACTTCTTACTGACCCAAATAGAGGTCAATAGTCTTATAAAAAACTCAGGGAATTCCAGTAAGATAGCTTTAAACATTTTTAAGATACATAGGTTCAAAACTTAATCTAACAATTGAAGAATTTTGCTGTTGCATGATTTGAACAATTTTGCAGTTACACCCGATATATATATATATATATATATATATATATATATATATATATATATATATATATATATTGCAATTTTTTATTGTCATAGACAAAGAATACCATTGGAAAATTCGTAAAGGAATCAGCACATATGCTAAGCCACAAATATCCTGAGCCGACCAAGTATAGAAATGAATACAATATGGGAACCAGTAATAAAGAATGCCAGAGAAAAGCGATAATAACAACAAAAAATTGCAATATGAGCTCTGGTAAAAACATGTAATGATAACAGCAAAAATTGCAATATGAGCACTGGTAAAAAACGGTTGCTGAAGACATTAGATTTATAATATTCAGAAATTCATGCACAGATGTCCTCAAGGACACATAGCGCAGTGGATAAAGGCGTTAGTTAGACTCAATGTGAGTTCGAGACCCGGTTAACTTGGAGAAGGGAATTAACAGAAGATAACTGACAACCATTAAGTATGGCACGTGGAACTAGAATATTCTATCCCAGTTGTAGGCAGACTAGCCTAAAATGTACACGAATGACAAATGTAAACCAATCTAAGGCACACATTTACCGTAAACTTCATTTAAACTTAATGGCGCAAAAACGAAGGAATTTCAGACATATGTTAATATAGACTTTTGTCCTTGTTTCGGTGTGAGGAGCCCACCCCCAAGGATTGTAAAAGTATTTTGCATAAACCCTGTAATATATATAGCCACGAGCAGACAGTTCCTCAGTGTGGCTAGACGCCCGATTGCTACAATCTTGATCGAAACCCGACTGATTTGATGTCATACCTCTAGGCCATTGTCGCATTATTACTTATTAGCTAATTAACATGCTTATCTGGGAAAGATAGTGGAGTGGTTTCCCAATGTATCCTCGAAATATTCCTCTTCTTTATTATCTGTGAATTGTCATGACAATTCCCACATAACAAATGGAAGTAGTTTGCTTTGCGAATGATATTTCTCCAAAATGCTTAAATTACGGTAGCCATCCATTCAGACTCACTGCCACTCAAGAAATAAAAGAGAAAGAGACATTTTTTTTCCTATACATATAAATAAATGAATAAATAATGGATTGGTACAAAATTTAGGATGTAGACGATCATGACTCGTTGTCGTTTCCATTATATCTGTGAATAATAACGAAATCTCGGTTTGATGTTCATAATTGGGTGGCATTTCTTCAAGGCTATAGAGGCTAATTTACTTTGTTATTTAACCCATAGCTGGGAGTGAAATTGAGAAGAGTTGGATTCATGACTTTCATTTCAGTATTCTTGCGAAATGAACACAAATGACTAGGCTGGAATTTGAATTCAGCTCATCGATTCGACTTTCCCAGTCGATAAACGTTACACCACATAAATATCTCATTTTGTTTATTAGATTAGAATTATTGATAACAATTATATCTATAACATCAGAAAATACAGATACATGCAACTGTGTACTTGTGTATCTAAGTGTATGTGCGTATGCGCGTACTTGGATCATAATATGAAGTAAATTGAAAGTTCGTACTTTCACTTTCATTTTTACTTCTGACCAAAATTTTTAAACAAGTTAGAAATCTGGAAGCAAATAATATTCTAAAATTAACATTATAATTCTTCAAAATCTCGAGCACATGTGATCTATCTATCTATCTATCTATCTATCTATCTATCTATCTATCTATCTATAGATGTAGGGAGACTATGATAGATCTATCTATCTATCTATCTATCTATCTATCTATTTCTAAATATATATCTATCTATCTAATTTTTTCACATAAACTTCTAACGTCTCTCTCTCTCTCTCTCTATCTCTCAGTCAACATACAACTATCTATTTCAATCCACCTATATCTATCTATCTATCTATCTATCTATCTATCTATCTATCTATCTATCTCATTGTATTTTTATCAATCCAGCTCGTTTTAATCGCCAAATGTTGTTCCTCTGCTAAACCTTGGGTTTCTTTTTCCACTCGGAACTCCATTTTAAAGAAACATGATCCAATGTGTGAAGTGCTAATCTCATAATGAGAAATTTGAAACTTCCCTTTTCTCTCGAATGGATTGATGGCCCCGCAGTTCCAATATTCAGTGGCATTCACCGAAGCTCTTAGTTTCGTTACGAAAATCCCGATTCTCTTTCTTGTATGCTTACCCTCAAAATATGGGCCAGAATTTGTCGTATGGGTGAAAATGAACAGAAAAAGATGGCGATTATGGCTTACTTTGAATAGTGAAAATGTATTTTTTGATTGTTAAACACGAATGTATATTTTGAAATTAGAATAAATTAGTCATTCGTTATTGCTTGTTTTTTAAAGAGTCCTTATAGACAAATCAATAAAGAAAACCGAGAAGAAAGAAGACTGTAGTTATGGCCGTTAGCAAGAGAGACAGTCCAGTCAGCGAACGAAGAATTGGAGGCGGCAAAATTAAGTAAGTACGAAAATGTGGCGGAAAGAAATGTGACACCGAAATCCGAGGGCACATTGGGATAGCGAAAGATGCCTTGTAAAAACTAAGCAAAGTATTAAGAAACAGGAAAGATCAACTTTCATGAAATATACGTTTGGTAAAACCTACAGAAATAAAAATAAGAAGAAAGAAAAAGCTTGAAAAAGAAAAAAGAAAGATTAAACACGGAAGAAAAAGAAAGAAAGATTAAAAAAGAATAATAAGAAAGAAAGAAAGAAAGAAAGAAAGAAAGAACAACTATCGTGAAATACACGTTCAGTAAAACGTACTCCAATGAAAAAGATGAGAAGAAATAAAAAGGCTTGAAAAAGAAAAAAGAAAGATTAAAAACGTAAAAAAAAGAAAGAGGAAAAAACAGAGGAGTAAGAAAGAAAATTCAACTATCGTGAAATAAAAAAATTACGCCAATGAAAAAGATGAGAAAGAAAAAAGCTTAGAAAAGAAGAAGAGAAAGATTAAAAACGGAAGAAAGAAAAATGAAAAAATGGACGAATAAGAAAGAAAGAATGAAAGAAAGGTTAAAAACAATAAAAAAAAAAAAGAAAGGAAGTTCAATTATCGTGAAATAAACGTTCAGTAAAACTTACACCAATGAAAAAAATGAGAAGAAGAACGAAAAAGCTTGAACAAAAAAAAAGAAAGATGAAAAACGGAATAATAAGAAAGAAAGAAAGAAAGAAAGAAAGAAAGAAAGATTAAAACAGAATAATAAGAAAGAAAGAAATTTCATTAATACCAAAGAGAGGAGTGCTAAATTGCTAAATAATATCACTCCTCATATATGGCGGTAAATGCTGGACAATTACTTCACAGAGGAAGAGGAAACGTAAGACAAGTGAGATGTGGTTGTGAAGAAGGATGTTGAGATTATCATGGACTGGACATGTGTGTCATAAGGAAGTTTTAAGGAAAGCGAAAGCAAAATAGAAATAGGTGAAATTTCTAGGATCTACAGAAGGCAAAAAAGTGTGTAACTTGCCTAACGAGCTGGCATAACAGAGACTGGGAAGGGCAGTAAGAAGACAAACATTACGAATAGCTACAAAGGATAGGAAGTTGTGGAGAGCCATGATCAAACTACCTAACAAGCTTGTGTAGACGGGTGACAGAACAGGCAGTGGGAAGTCATGACAGAGATTGGGAAGGATACTAAAAGGAGAAACACTGCTAAGAGCTACAAAGAATAGGAAGTTGTGGAGAACCATGATCAACGTACCTAACAAGCCTGTGTAAACGGATGACAGAACAAAGAGTGGGGAGAATATTAAAAATACAAATACTTCTAAGAGCTACAAAGGATAGGAAGTTGTGGAGAGCCATCATCAACCTTCCTAACATGTTTGTGTAAACGAATCACAGAACAAGGAATGGGAACGATATTAAAGTTACAAACACTGCTAAGAGATACAAAGGATAGGAAAGTGTGGAGAACAATGATCAGCCTGACTAACAAGCTTGTGTAAACGGATGATATAACATGGATAGCTACTAAGAGGACAAACATTACTTAGAAGTACAAAGAATAGGAAGCTGCGGAGAACCATGATCACCCATGTTTTGAAGAGGTACTGCACATAAAAGCATATGTAAGCTGGATGATAAGATAAATTAAATAGTCATACAATTGTGCAGTTATTGAAGGGAAGTGAGATAGTTATATGCTATGCGTGATACACACTTAGGCGCTCATGTAACTTTCGATACATGACTGACGAGGCAGTAAGTTGCCATTTCTTTCTGCGGTAGACCAGTTACCATCCAAAGCTATAGAACCTTTTCTTGATGGGATGAGGTTGTTGGTAGTGACCCCCCATATTCAGAAGGTGCTTAAGTCCCCCGAGACATATGGTGCCCCCACTGTCGGGAAAGATCGTCATCCTAGCGCTGTGATTTCTGGGGATATTCCTAATTTGTCTGGGATCCGGTTTTGGCGAGAATGGGACAACATATTTACTCATAGCTGGGAGAGAAGAGGATTCCTACCTTTCAAATAGAAATATAGATTAAACCAGGATTTTTACCGTCACACTATGAATATTTGTAACTACTTGGCGTAGCAGTTAAGTTGAAGCAGTCAATATAGTTGGTTCCTAATTATGAACGTATCCTGGTTTCATAAAAGTATGAATTGCAACTTTTATTATTAAGAGAAAGGCTTGAGTGCATACGAAAGAACACAGATATTGCGATGTTCTGTCAACTTCCGTTTCCTGACAACATAGCTCTTCGTTAATAAAAGGAAATTTAAATGCGAAAAGGAAAAGACAGGAAGGTTAATGAATGAAAAATGAAAGAAGAAGAAAGTCGAAATGAAAGGAACAAAGAGAAGCGTAAAGAAATAAAGAAATCAGAAGAAAAAAAAATCCCCCAAGGAACAAGTCACATGGAACGAAAGAAAAGGAGAAATTGAATGATAGAAAGAAACTGAATGCAAGTCTATTAAGAAAATGGAAAAGAGTTGTGGGTTGAAGTGGGAAGGTCAGGAAGACAAGCAGATAAACAAGAACAAGAAGGAAAAGTAAAGGAGGGGGAGTAGGAAGAAGAGGAGAAGGTGTAGGAGGAAAAAGAAGGATAACGAGAAGAGGAGGAGGAGGAGGTGAAGAAGAAGAAGAAGAGAAGAAGAAGGTGGAGGATGAGGAGGATAAGAAGAGGAAGAGGAGGGGAAGAAATAAAAGAAGAAGGTGGATGAGAAGAAAAGAAGAAGACGACTCCAGAGAAGAAGAAAAAGAAGAAGAACGGAAGAAGAAGGTGGAGGAGGAGGAGGAGGAGAAGAAGAAGAGGAGGAGGGGAAGAAATAAAAGAAGAAGGTGGATGAGAAAAAAGAAGGAGAAGGAGGAGGAGGAGGAGGAGGAGACGAAGAAGGTGGAAGAGGAGAAGTGAGGAGGAGGAGGGGAAGATGGTTGAGAAGTAGAAGTGAAGGAGGAGAAGAAGGTGAAGAAAAAGAAGTGGTGAAGAAGAAGAAGAAAAAACGAGAAAAAAGACAAAAAACAAGGAAATGAAGGGATGTTGTAGATTTAATTGAGTGAGGTCCGCGAATATCTGTGATGCTCGTTATGCATGGCGTGAGGGTGGTGAAAAGGGATATCGAAGAACGGTTATTCAACAGTGGGTCGTATGTGAATGGGCTGGTAATAGAGAGAGAGAAGGAACTGGTTTATTAGGGCGTAAAGGAAAATGTGTGTTAATTTGAATGTGTGTGTGTGTGTGTGAGAGAGAGAGAGAGAAGAGATCAAATTCATCGGCTGGGGAGTTTAAAGAAATTAAAATGCCGAAAGAGATTAATTTTCTATATTTCGAAAGGACGAGAAATGCCAGGATGTATGCAATATTAATAAATTCAAAATCAGAAAACTTAGAGAAAAAAAAAAAAAAAAAGAAAAAAAGATGACATAAGAGAGACAGAGAAAATTTTTGGAGGTTCTTCTGGTGAATAGTTTCTTTAATACATTGTGCATTCCCAAAGACACACACAGACAAACACAATTTGTGTGATAGATAATTATTTTAAATAGATAGATAGGTAAAAAAAGAGTATTTGTGTGTGTGTGTGTGTGAGAGAGAGAGAGAGAGAAGAAAGAGAGAGAGAGAGAGAGAGAGTTATCATTTATAATAGAGACGAAAAAAAAAAGAAAATGTGTGGATATGTATGAAGATAAAATGAAACAAAACAAATATGAGATAATAAAGAAAAAACAGAAAGAGAAAATATTTGTGTGTTTTAGTGTTATTAATGTGTGTGAGAGATGATGTCTTATGACAGAGATAAAGATTTGAGAGTTTTGAGAAAGAGAATGCGTGAGTTCTTGGAGAGATATAGAGAACAAAGAAACACTAAATTGTATCAATGAGAGAGAAAATGAGAGTATCGAAAATGAGAGATTTACAATTAGACATTCTGTGATTTTAAGGAGAAAAATGAAGCAGAAACAGAGAGTGAGTGAGAGACAAAGAGATTAAGAGAGAGAGAGAGAGAGAGAATAAGAAAGAGTGAGTGAAAGAAAGGAAGAATGAGAAAGAGCGGGTAACATAAAGATCAATAAATGGTGAGTGTTTCGTTATTTACATGGTTGGGAATGTTATCCTCCTTAACAAAGCCATATTCACGACGTTTCGGGCCGGCGCTCCGGCCTTCTTCAGGTGATTGGAATTTTGAACTGAACCCTTTATTTCGTCTACTGGGGTATATTATTCTAGTTCCACGTGCCATACCTATTCCGGATGTCTCAGCTATCTCCCTTTAACAACCCTCCAAGTTTTTGTTCACCACTGCTGTGGTCAGGTATTGAACTCACAACTCTTTGGGTCAAGTCATTGGATTCAACCAACGCTTTTAGCCACTGGGCCATGTGTCCTTGTGGATACTGACGGGAAAAACCATCTTCTCCTCCCCTGCCACCTTCTTTTATTTTAAGAATTTGTAGCTCTAAGAACATTTTTAGCCCTTTACTATCTCTTCCTCTGTTCTGTCAGCCATTCCCACATATTCATTAACTACAATACTGTATATGCCTGCTTCTAGAGCTTTCAGTATGAACAGTTTGTATTACATTTTCGGCACCTTCTTTATTCATCATTTACTATTCCAGAAATTTCAGCTGTATCTCTTAAATAGTCATATAAAAGAAACTTACGTGCAAGACTTCGTCGTTGATTTAATGATCTGTCTATTTTAATCTCGACATCCTGATTACAAATCTCTCTACTTTGAAGCATTACGAAAGTGACAACAATATTCGTTGAAATCACAAAAGTGGTAATGACATTCGTTGACATCACAAAATATCACATGAAATAGACTTTAGGTCACACAATTATTTTATATATTTTTTGTTTATACGTTATTTTTTATAAATAACAAATAAATAAGTAAATGATCCGTTTAAAACAAACAGTTTAACAACATTTACCGGCCTGAATATAAGGAAATTTCATATAAGATATAATCTTCAATCGAACCTTTATCCTATACCCAACCGTATATAGATGCTGATATATATATATATATAGATATTAATATCTGGTTGGCAAGATAGTTATATTACAAGCTTTTTGAACTATTTTCAATGAAGGATTTTTATTATTCAAAAAGTAATAAAATTGATTCATTGTAAACATATAGCCATAACATTGATAAAAAACATATAAACATATATATATATATATATATATATATATATATATATATATAAAATTTCAAATTAAAAAATAATAATGTTTTTTTTTATGAAAGTATTTATTTATTTATATATATATATTTGATATTTCAAATTGTCCTCAATTTTTCATTTTTTTTTAAACTGTTTGTTAAAATAATTTATTGTTAGTTGATTTAACTGAATTTAGAATATTTTAGTCATTTGATTCACGTGACGTCTACGTCTCAAAATAACGCTATTTGCTAACAAACAGTAAAATTTATTTGTAAAAAAAGTTATTTCTGATGAAAGATTGAGGACAATTTGAAATATCAAAAATTATTATTATTTTTAAAATAAAAAAATTATTTCTAATTTGAAACTTTTTCTATATATACATATTAAGAAAGTATACATAAAATTTCTATATGTATTTATATATATATATATATATATTAAAGACATTTTTTATGTTTAACGTTGTTATTTATAGATACAAGTATTTAAGCAAATGCTCTGTTTATGATAAACAGTATTAAATTAACATTTATTTTGAATGTCCACTTGTTTTCATAGAAAATATTCGTTCTTTGACAGGATTTCCGAACCTGCATCCCATATTTCATTTACGCTGAGTTGAGAAAGAATTACAGCCTGGAGAGAGACCATCAAAATAGAAAATAAATCTTCTCCAACAATTATTCGGATTATAAATTCTATCAATATCTGAAAAACGGACTGGGCAACTCCGCCCATATTGATAACAGTAATTATTTCGGCCTGATATTTGTCCTTTATTAAAATTATAGAATGAAGATCATTTACTTTAAATCATTTATATTTTATCTTATCTTTAGAATGGGTATATATAATAGTTCCAAAACGGAGGTCGGATGAATTTAAGCCAATATTCTAAAAAATGCACGGGGGCAATCCGTTCATCGTGAAAGGCAGTTCTGGGTCTGAAATTGATGGAATGTAACTATTGGTTTTGAAGCATTGATATATATTTGTTAACTATTTCAAATTTAAAGAACAACAAAATTTTATTTTTGCTTGAAAGAGTATAATGTGAGTTGTATTAGATAATATTACAGCATTACATTTTCCGCTTGAAAAGAAACACTTCTAGTCGCTCCTTTAAAATACCCTTGTGCCGGATTTGGAACGAGTGGGCATCTTAAATGAACAAATACTCATTGATCAAAGTTCAGATGAGTATCTTCGTTTGCCAGATTCATAGCCATCTTAATTTGAAAACGGTGAATCAACCTCAGATTTTCTTAATACCCCAATTTCTCCTCCAATCATTTTGTAAAGCTAGGAAGAACAGAAAAACAAAAAATACAAAACTTAAAGATAGAATACGACTTGTTACTTATGAATAAACGACATCGAAGTCCTTCACTTGCTTCATTCTTGGTATATCTTTTGTCGTATTTCTTTCGAAGATTCTTGACTCGTTTTTCCTGTCAACATTGCGAGAAAAAGTTTTCTAGCGTGAATGTACATTGCAAACTGTTTGACAGCTTTAAGGGATGCACACATCATTTTATATCACCACAAATTCAAAGACTTGTTTCTTGTTTACAATTATCTGAATCGCGTTAAAATAAAAAGAAGAAAAAGTTGAAAGGCATTTAAAGGAAACTTGCATAACATCAACTGACACTCTATCTTTTCATGCATTCAATCCATCAATCAATTTTTCGACCTATCTTTTTGTTCATTAAATCATCATACGAGCCATATTTTCAAAGGAGTTGTTAAAGCCTAAAAAGCACAGTTTTCTTCTATCTATCTAATATATATATATATCTATTATGTAAAAGTAAATACTTTGGTAAAGATTAATCGATATAATTTTCAAAGTATGTAAAATTCATTTTTTTTATATAATGCAGACTCCTTGCTGCCTTGTAAAATTATGTAGTTAGACTGAGTGTCCATCATACATAAAATAGGAATTTACCATCAATCACAATCATCTTTATCATATATATCATTATATATATATATATATATATATATATATATATAAAATAATGTGATGTTTGCCTATCCGTGATCCGTATATTTTATTTATATATATATAATATATATATATAGAACTATCCTGATATATATTTGTGTGTTTTGTATAAGTGTGTCAAAAATGTTACAATATATATATATATATATATATATATAAATATATATATTTAAAAAAAAAAATCAAGATATATAATTGAATATTATAGATTTTTTTTTTTATTAATAGTGAAAAAATTGTTTACAGAAGATATTATTTTAATTGATTTAAAAATGGTTTTTCACATGTCTTCTTTAAATGTTTCAAAATAGAATAAATTTAATTTTGCTTTAAATTATTTCAGTTCCTTAATGGAATATGCATGCCTCTTCTCCCTCACTGACTCCACTTGGCTGTTATATGTGTATTTGACGGACGTGTAGGATTCAGAAGAGCCAAGAGCTTGTCTGAGAGATAATGTCTATAAAATTCAGTCATTGACTACGCCATTTTTATTACAAATCATTTCTAAAACGCGTACCATCGATTCATCTTTACCGTATTTTTCTATAGATATATATTTCAATATTTTTCCGATTAACACACATTGGAACATAAATATATATATATTTATATATATATATATTTATGATATAGTTTTATGTAAATGACAAGAATTTTAAGGGAAGGAAAATGGAATGGTTTCTGTGCAAATATGTATAGTTATTAATATAATCCAGATATATTATATATATATATTATATATGGTGAAAATCGTGATTATGGATTACTTTCTGAAATTTCATGAAATGTCAAGGGAAGGATAATGGAATGGTTTCCTGTTGACTTTTCTTATTCTGAAATCCAGAGTTTACTCTGATATTCTTATCCATTGTCTTACTGATTTAATTTTATGTTAAAGTTTCAGAATCCATTTTATTTTATATTTAATTCTACGTTCATTCTTTATTATATAGAATCTTTTTTAAATCCATTTTAAAAACAATCAATCGCTCGCAGAAACATATTTTTACAGACAAAACTTCAGTGACAATCGCCATTTTAAAAACAGAATAGAAAAAAGAAACAAAGTAAAAAAACAAAAAAACAATTACAATCGCACATTAAACATGAATTACTGACACAAATAAAACTAAAAATTGATTCAAACAATTTATAAAATTTTGTTTGTACCCATAGCGAAAGAAAAAATAAATAAAAAGTAGACGAAAAACAAGAAAAAAAAAAAAAAAAAAAAAAATTAAAAAAAAACTACAAATTAAACCTTGCTGCAGTTTTTCCTACATCTGTCACCATTTATTTTCACTTGTGTCATATCAACGATATCATAGTCTTATTTTCCTGTAACAATGACTGAACGCAGCTGTAAAATAATAATAAACTGGCTGTATATCATTTATTACAAAGAGTAAAAAAAAAAAAAAAAGGGTTGCCGAGAAGAAATGTTTCACCTTCAAGGCTCAACGTCATGTCAAATCATTATCTTTTATCTGAAGTTAATTCAGCATTTTTTCCCTGTCCTTAAGGCTTTTGTAAATCAATGACTTTCTGTTTCAGATACGGGTTTTAAATTTTGTTCATTGAAACTTACTTGGTTTATGAGGAAAGGTCATCAAAATAAATACTAGCAGAAAAGGAAATTGTCGAAATCTACTGTTACTGGT